CAAACTGGATTTCAAACTCCCACATATCCTTTATATCTCCATTATATGGGAAAATCAGATACTGTATTATGGTCCAGATTCATGATCCAAAGAGTCCAAAAGGAAGAAATCATTTGTGATAGAATGATACTTCAAGACATTTGCCATTTTCTCTTCCTATATACAAACAGAAGATTGACCTCCTTGCTTTAAGAGAGATCAGAGATAGACTTCCTGGTTTTTATTTCTAAAAGCCTATGCACATATAAGAGAAGAAGAGAGAGAGAGAGAGAGATTTTGAGGTTTTAGCCAGATTAGGAGGATTTTTGTAGACTTAGAGAGCAGGGATGGGTTTCAGATCTCTCCTGGCACCATCTGAAGACATGGCTGGAGATGAACATGAATGGTTGTGAGCTTCCCCACAGTGCTGAGTCCAAAGCCTGGTGCTCAACTAAGTCTGCACTGCTCTTGGAATGGCACAGGAAGCTACAGTGGTAGGACAAAGTGAAGTGGGACAATCAACAACTCAAATGTATCATCTCAAACTAACTATGTAAGACCATAGCACAGACCCCGTCAGCCATTCAACTATTTTCTAGAAAGGAAGCTGGAGGTTGCAATTATATGATGTATATAAATAAAAATAGTACACTGAGATACTGAAGACTGAAAACAAAATTTAAAACACATGAGACCTAAAGAACAGGATTGAAATTCACCTACAATTCAACCCTGCAGTGTAACCCTAGTTGACAATAAGGTTTTCTAAAACTTCAAGTGTTAGAAAATCGAAAGAAGATTCAGAACATATTTTTTGTGACTGTCTCTTGCCCTTACTTCTTATTCTGCATAGACATTCAGACTGTGCCTGCATTTATAATATGTGTGAGAATGTCCAAATAATTCAGACCCTTCCTCAGAAGACATTGACACATCACTCAGGTGGCTATCCTAGGGTAAGTACATGTAGTGTATGGAAATATCCAGAACATATTCTGGCATTTCACTTCTCCAATAGAAATGCTCAAATCATGATCTCTACATACAGTACTCATCCAAACATTCTCATGCGTACAAATTTCCAGGGATGTTGACATTGTATAATGCAGGCATTATTTACAAAACTAGCATGACTCCTTTGTTTAAAGCAACTTCCTATGGCTGTGATCTGAGCTTATAAAGGAAGTTTGTTATATTTTCTTTCTGGAGACACTATGTCAATCCTTAAATATGGCCACAGATCAGAGGTTGGAAAGAATTCAGCCCGGCAAAGAAGAAAGTTATACTCAGTAGGGTTGGGAATAAATGGTAATGTTTTAGAAATTTGACAAAAAAATCTCTGTTCTTTGTCTTCCTCACCTATTTTGTTTCTGCAAGCTCTTCTTACCTGCCTGAAAGTAGCTTTATTCTATCTTTAAAATATTATAACCCCAGAAATGGTAAGGCGCATTCAGGTGAAAAATAATAATCAAAGCCATTCATGGTCCATGTGCCCAGACTAAGCTGTATTTATGGAAGCTTTTTTTTCCCCTTAGAGGCCAATGTGTAAATTAAGTTTCACCAAGGCAAGTCAAATTATTCCCTGGCCATTTGTAGTATGCAGTGTTTTATGTGACTTTTTACCCTCTTTTTCAATAAAACAATACGTACTTGTATAGCAGCCAGACGAAGTGGTGATTCACACGCATCCTGGAGATGCCAAGTACTGTTCCTCCTCTAGGAAACACACTCACCATGTGTAATGAGAGCCCTTTGGATTTCCTGATGTGATTCAACATCAAGTTGAACTCAGTACTGAACTAAATATTCATCAATGTCAGCAATCACAAAATTGGATGTATGAGAGTACCATTTGTCTGTGTGTAATTCCTATTCATTTGTTACAAGTTGAGCGTTGTATCTTTGTTAGATCAAAATGGGACAATGTTGCTCAAGCAATCCAATTAAAGAATTTGGACAGTTTGAGTATACAATGATCAAAGATTTGTGGGGGTGGCTAGCTATGGTTTTGTGATAGAGACCTCTTATTGATTCCTTCTCTTAAATTACAGAGGCTGGGATGGGTACCTCAAAACCAGCCTTCAGGGAGACTGCAGTGCTGGAAATATCAGACCATTTGTGAATCGTATGTTAACCCAGATGAGAAGTCATTTTTTTACCAACAGGCAAAACATGTTTAAGGGCTAGGACTGGAGATACTGAAAACCTTTGTTTCTCAAAAATGCATGTGGGCTAGCCTTGCTAGGCATGCAGAATCTTGGGCTCTCACCCTAGAGCCTGTGAATCAGAATCTGCATTTTAACAAGATCTCTGATTCCTGTATACATTGAAGAATGTACAGATAGGAGCTTTGATCCTCTCAAATTGAAAGCCTTTCTCAAAACTCAAATTCCAACTTGATACTTAGTTTATTATTTGATTTTTCCCTTAGAAAAATAAGAAATGTGAATGCTCTATGTGACAATGAACATAGTGCCTTGCACTTACAACATTCCTCTTCTGTAATAATTTTAATGATAAACATGTAAGAATATGCACAAATGCTTTAGGACAGTGATTCTCAAAGTATTGTCCCTTGATCAGCAGCGAGGCTCCTGGGACTTGTTAAAAATGCAAACTCAGAGCTCCAGCCAGACTTATGGAATCAGAAACCCTGGGGGAGCAGCCCACCAGTCTGTGTCCTCACAAGCCCTATAGATGATTCTGATGAAGGCTCAAGTTAGAGAGCTGTTGCTCAGTAACTATTCAAAATCATTAAAGTCATTAGCTGCAATTTGAGCTCTGAGGTATAGAAAAACATCACAATCAAATAGGAAATTGCCTGATAACTTTCAAAATTATTAAAGAAGAGGTGTCAAAGCCTGTAAATTGGTATTTTTTATGACTCTTGGCAATTTGTCAAAGTAATTGGTAGGCTGTTTAATTTTAAAATACTATCTTCCCTGTAAAGGCTCCCTAAATGACCTTTCCCTTAATAGTTGTGGCAAGGGGTATAGCCAACTTGAAAATGTATCTCACTCTCCCTAGGTGAGAATATAAACTGCACCTACTTCCTCACCATGTCCACTAAGAAGGAGATGATTCTTCTTCTCAAGAGTCCGTTGGGCAAATGACATATACCTTGTCCCCTCTGAGGAAATGACTCCTCTGTGAGAATGACATAAGCCTGTGGCTCAGAATGATCATGTTTCCCTCTATGTGGAGAGATCTTTACTGAAAGTGAAGCTGATTTCTGGGGCAAAAGAAAGAGAGAGTGTCCTGAAAATATTCACTGAACCCCCAGAACCAGCTCTGTGTGAAGTTAAATTAATCTCATGACTTCCCAGTTATGTAACCCAGCAAATTCCCTTTTGGCTTGAGTTTGTTTGAGTTGGGTTTTTGTCTCTAAAGACCCAAGGACCTGGCTAATAACAATCTCCAAATAATTTACACCTTTGTGTGAACCCCACGTGTTCAATAAACACCTTAGAGGGAGGCATAAATAAAAGAACGTGCTTGACTGGTAGTCAAGAGGTTTCATAAGGATTCGGCACTGTCTGTTAAACAAACCATAGGCAAATTATGTAAGTCTATGAGCTTCCCTTATTTAAATGTAACAGAAGAGATTGGTCTAGATATATTGAAGGAAAAATATTTTAGAACTGGTAAAAGCCTCAGATACCAGTTTTTTTTAATTATAGAAAAGAGGAAAAACACAGTGATACTTGGTCAATGGCTTAGAGCCTGTTGGTGGCTGAGTGGGCACAGCCTAGACCTACCAACTGCACATGCCCTCTTCACAAGACCACTTGACTACACTTTTTGAAGGTGCATTCAGATTATCATTGTTATCTTCATATGTTGTGTATATTAAGATATACAATATAAGTTTGGGTTGCAGATAGCTGATTTTAATTCAGAGATTTATTGTTCACATATGAAGAAAAAGGCTGATTCTACTGTTGGTGGGTCCAGAGAGCAATAGCATCATTAAAACTCAGGTTCTTCCCATAGTTCTTCCTCTCTGCCATCCTCAGGATGTGGACATTGGTACCCAGAGTTTCATTTTCTTATGGCCACAAAATACTAACTGCAACCCACATAAGCCCAAAAGACTGAAAGGAGAAGTATCTCTTTCTTGTCATTTACTTGTACTCTTGTATACTGCATGGGAAGAAGAAGAGGAAGAAGAAGAAAAGAGGAAGAAGAAGAAGAAAAGAAGAAGGAGAAGGAGGAGGAGAAGAAGAAGAAGAAGAAGAAGAAGAAGAAGAAGAAGAAGAAGAAGAAGAAGAAGAAGAAGAAGAAGAAGAAGGGGAAGGGGAAGGGGAAAGAGGAGAGGAAGGGGAAGGAGAAGAAGGGGAAGGGGAAGGGGAGGAGGAAGAGGAAGAGGAGAAGGAAGAGGGATATTAAGGAAAACAAACAAACAAGGAATAGTAACTAAGGTTCATACTTTAATAATAATAATGTATAGATTTTGGTTAATTAATTGAGACAAATATGCTATTAATAACAAAAATGTTATCTATAGGGGAATCTGGCTATGGGGTGTATGGGAATAACTTGGCAATTTTTTTGTAGGTCTAAACTTATTTTAATTCAAAAGCATATTTAAAGAACTCAGGCTTGAGCCCCAGTTTGTTTCCATTTTCCCAATAAAATATAACTTTGTTCAGAAATTGTTGCTGTTCAAAGTATTGCTAAATGCCTGTGCCCATGCAGACAACTTGGCTGAACTGAGTTTGGATGGACATATTTTCTGTTTCAATAGGCACATATGCTCATTGAATCCTTCCAACAATCAATGAAATTAAGCTATTTTCAAAATGATCTTGTATGTCATAGTTTATGGAATATACCTTTTAATGTTGTAAGTGATAACTGCATGCTGGACTTTCCTAGCTCAAAATCACATGCATGTGAAGTACCAATATCCTCCTTGTTTCCCTCCAGGATCTTGCAGATTAAAGATGACTCATGGGCAGCCAAGTAATTGGTAGAGCCAGCCAGAATATAATAGGAACTCTAAGGACAATCTTGCATACCTCTCCACCAACCACATCCCTTCCTTCAGTCATGTGTGAGTGTGTGGATCTCCACAGAATGCCAAAAACACACAGAGAAACTCTTCCATCTTTGTGCCCAGAATGAGCTGCAAGAATCTTCCCCTGCAACAAAAAGGAACACACAACATTAAAAATTCTGGTGCCAATTCAGACAGTAAGAATATGTTTTAAAAATCTCAGTGTTTAAATTTCTAATTAATATACAGATATCATGATATCCTCTAGCACTTTTAGTAGGAAATGCCTTAAAAAGAATGTAGATATGGCTGTTCTGGGTTATTCAGAGAATTATCAACTAGTTTCTTTTCCCTTTTTTTTTTCCTTAGGATTTTGAGGACATTTAGATAAGGTCTTGCAACACTTTGAAGATGAAAGTTTGAATATTTTTTGTTTGAATGGAGACCATTATGAAAAGGAAGTTATTTGAGTTATTTTTGTGAGGCTAATTAACTGTAAGCCCTGAGCTCTTCCTGAATCAAGGGTCACCAGTCTCAAGACATTTAGTCCTTTGTATGGGGTATGTAGAAAAGCAGCAATATCTGAGACAACAAGAGATGACTAAGACTTTCTTTAAAGTCCTGGGGTATAGCATGTGCTTAATGTGAATGAGGCCATGCATGGGTTCAATACTCAGCATACAGACAGACAGACAGATAAACATAATTTCAGTAAGGGGAATCAATGGATTTTTGATAGTGTTTTTCTCCTCATAGGACACCAGCATGGAGGCATTAGAATGTCCTTAAGTCAAAGATTTCAACTGCAATTATAACTAGTTGGACATCAACACTAGATCTGATTTCTAGTAAAAGCAAACACAAATATAGCCAATCATAGAGTGAAATCCTTACATAATTAACAACCAATTCAAGAGTTACTAATTTATATTAGGGAAAAATACTTGACTGAAAACCATTTTAAATGGTTAACTACTTACCTAATCACTGTACTAAATGTTAGGCATCCATCTATTAAGATTTAATCACACATGAAAGTCCTAATCCTTGAAATAATGATGAAAATAAAAGAGAAGATATATCTAAGTTTGTAGAAATCATAAATTCTGTACAACCTCAAAAGAGCATCAGTTCTATAAAAGACATAGAACAACTATACAGGCTGAAGCCCCCAAAATAAATCAATTTAAACACCTTGAAGAGAGCAGATGATAAGGGAAGGTTGAATTTGACACAGGCACATTTAACCCATTTAAGTGGCACTTGGGGTTATGGATGGAATCCAGAGAATAGCAGAAGAATGGAGTGCCTTGCTCCAAACTAAGTCATAACTGAAATGGTCTTAAGAAGGCCTTTTGTCAGCAGCATAGCTGTTGAATTGAATGATTATGTTCTGGTGGATTATGACATTCTCAAAAGGCAATCTGGCATTCCAGTTGGTGTATGGGTTAATCAGGGGTGTGCCATGTCATGGATAGAATCTTTCTAAAGTAGACCTTAAATATTTATTATTTGTTCTTTGGACCTGGAGTGGCACTGACAGTTAGTGAACATGGTTCATCAAAAAAACCAGGAGTTAAATACAATAGAGAAATTCTGGACAATTTGAGAGAACTTTTCTGTTTTTCTCTTTCTTTTTTTTGGTACCAGGGATCAAACTCGGGTCTTTGGCTTGTGAGGCAGGTGGTGGAACCACTGAGCTAAATCCCCGGCCCTAACTTTTCTGTTTTTCTGGTTAATTAGCTACAAAATGGACATCAGTCTTTCATCCAATTTTCAAAAAAATTATTAAAAGAAGTACCCAACATAAATTAAAATAAATAGCTAAAATATAAATGGTAACCTTAGATTTGCAAAATTTTTCCCCACCGTATGGTATTTATTGAAGTAATTATACCCCCCACACACACACACTAACGAAACTGGAAGCTGTAGAATTACTAGGATCAGAAAAATTACCGATGAAAAAAATTTTATTTGCCCAGAGAAGAAACCATTGATCCCAGTGAAAATTTAGAAAAAAACTGGAAATGACTAAAATTATAGAGATTAATTAAGATTTATGAAAATTGCTTGAAAATTTTTTTTACAGAAGTGAATTAATGTTGTTACTATTTCCATTTACAAGCTTATTTTCATAATCTCAGCCTCAAAACATTTTCAGGGTCAAAGAAGTATCAGAGTATCAAATATATTCTGAGCCTCTCTCAATCTTTTATGTGGAAATCAATTTATGCAAATTCACTCCTCAGCTTTTGCATATATGCTTCTTTCTGCATGGAAGTCCCTTCTCTGTTTCCTGTTCTAGGGGAACTCAAACTTGTCCTGCAAAATTCACTTACAAACATCACCTGTGGATTGGTCCCTCCTAATCTTCAGGCAGAGGTAGATACTATCACCTTCTGTGTTGCCTGAAGAACCTTTTCTGAAAATCCTATCATACTGCTACAACCTCTTGGTTACAAGGCTGTCTTGTGTACTAGATCCTGGATTTCCTTAGAGTATAGTTCATGTTTGGGCTGATTGTTATTAAATCTCTGGCGCATACATTGTTACTGGGTAGCTGAGTGAATATATAAGAGAAGTCTCCATGCTACCTATTCATTCATTTCTCCTGTTCTTTATTTGTAAACAAAATCACCAACTATGCACTGCAACCTCAATGATGTATTGAAGTAAAATTTATTTGCTATAAATTCAGATCAGTCCTAAACATATATTTTATGATGTCCCTTAGCAACAACTCCCTCATTTCCATCACCCTCCATTCCTTCCTCCATTAAAAGCAGTGCATTTAAAGGGATCACTTGAAACTGAGATGTCCTTCTCCATGGGAACTGAGATCTCATCTACATGGATGTTGGCCTTCTCCAAAGGCATTGAGATCTCTTCTTCATGGTTATTTCTGGCCTTCGCCATGGGTGTTGAGCCCTTCACGGGTGTTGGTGGGGGCGACTGAGAGTGTGGGAGCAGTTTCTGGGAGGTCTAGAGGTTAGGTCAGCCAAGGGCCTTTTCTTTCCATTCATCCTCAGTTTGACTCTGGATTCAGCTGAATATAGTTAAGGGATTAATTGCCATGATTTTGTTCCCTAAATTAAGTCATTGTGGTAAAAACTAAGCATAGCAATATGGGCCAACCACAATGAAATAAATTACTTTGTAAGTTTCAAAAGATTGTCACCAAATTACTGCTCTGTGCAAGTGCTGTTGGGGAGAAAAAGTTTGTTTGAGAAACATTTTCTTTGTGACTGTAATAAGGTATGTGTACCCCAGCTGAGATATGAGTCACATCCCCTGTGATAGGAAACTGTGGCTAGTTTGTGTGGGTTTGGGGTTTTGTATTAAATTTTCAGTACTCCCTGTTTCCTATGACTGATGAGTGGATCATCACCTGACTCATAGGCTCTTTTGTGATGGGTCAACAAAGTGTAACTTTTGAGATACAGTAATGTGGCACTCAGCTGCTGCAGTTTTTAATATGGTGAGAAAAACACCAGAAACATGTAATCAGTGCCTTGAAATGGACTTTTTCAAGGTCACCTCTTCCTGTCCTTTTGGAAAATTATAATTAAATTGGTCTAGACTAGTTTGTCACTCTTATTTTAAAAGACCTCCAATCCCCTCTTTTTGGTCTAAGTAGATACAACAAACATTTGTTTTTTCCAGGTTAAAGACAAGCCACTAACCTGGACTTCAGTATTCTAGAGAGTGATTTATTCAACAAATACTTATTAGATACGTACCTTGTGCTCCACTGCCTAAGACAGTGGAACTTATTTAGGAAGTTCAGCAAGCTGAAGCTCACAGTGTGGGAATTTTTAGGGAAAGTGTAAGGATAGAGACAAGAAAGGAAAGCCAAGTTCTGAGCTGTAAAGAGCCTCTGTGCCGAGCTAAGGAGTCTGGCTCTTGTCCTGAACCTCAGGAGTCCCAGAAACTGTCAGCAGAGGAGTGCCTTGAGAAGACAAGAGGAGGACACAGGAAGATGTAGGCAGGCAGACCATTGTCATCACCCAAGGGGAAAACAGGGTACAGCCTGAGTGAAGGCAAGGTCAGCGTGAATGAGCATTCAAGTGAGAGGATCTGGTGATTAATTCTCCTGACTCTGGTTTAAACTCTTAATGAGCAGATTCTTAATGTTGAAGCCAGATCCCTAGTTCCTCCTATTTTTAGCAAGAATTTTAGCACATAATTGCCTTCCCTATTTCTTCCTTTCTCCTTTTTTAGATCCCTCTTTCTCTTACTCCTTCTGACTCATAGTGTTTTAAATTCAGTGTCTTATAACCAATTACCACAGAATGCCTTAAAACGTGTATCAGATTGTGTTCTATTTTTAAAATTTGAGATTTCTTTGATGACTTCTGATTTAGAGTGAAAGCCGAAGTTCTTATGGTAGCCTGTGGGACTCTGCATGATCTGGTCCTCAATTCCTCTCTAACTTTACCTCCTACTCATACTCTCTAACTTTACCTACTCATAGCTCTAGCCATCTTCTCTCCTGACTATTCCCCAAACACTTCTAGGTGTTTCTGGCCCCACCATGCCCTCTCCCTGGACTGCTTCTTCCTCAGACACTCACCTGGGTTCATTAGTTACCACTGTGAAATCTTTTCTTAATGTCACTTGACAAGCTATTTAAAAATTAATTTCTAAAGTCAGCACTCCCCATTCTCCATACCTACTTTCTCCATCAATCTTAGGACTTTCTTATATTATTCCTTGTGTTCATTCCCTCCCACCTAGAATACAAGCTCCATTGGGGGGGCGGGGGGGGCTCTGTTTTGGGCACTGCCATGTCCCAGTGGCTGGAATAGTATACTTTCAGAAATGTTTACTGAGTAAGTGATGCATTGTTTACATAGGGATTTAAGGAGAGGACAATGTCCCCTTTTCAGGTCTGATTAACTGAAATGACAACATTCTACTCCCTGATGTAGGAAACACAGAATGAAGTTTCTTTGGGAGCAAACTTTGGACATAATAAGTTTTAGGTGCTGTGAGATAGCCATGTGGCAAGCCCAGTGGGAAGTCAGCTAGACCTAGATTTAGTGGACAAATGGGGCATGACGTAGTTCCAAACACCTACAGTAAAGTCATGCCTTAATCCACTTTAAATGAATTGAACATTACTGAATTGAGTTAAT